ACGCCATCCATATTCTGAAACAACCAAAGGATTCTTTGTGTTGGCAGGTTGCAGAAAATTGTTGATAATAATAGAACAGTGTTTATCCAGCACAATGCCTGATATTCTAAGTACTTCAAGTGCATCATATTTAATCCTCATGACAACCCTATGAAATAAGTACTCTCAACAGCTTCATTACAAATGAGGAAGCTGGGCTTCAGAGAGATGGAGGTTAAGGTCTTAGACCCAGCAAGTAGAACCTTGACCCAATCGCAGGCAGTCTGAGTCCGGAGCCCAGGATCTTAACAATTTTGCTATGAAACTTTCCCCAGGGATTTTCTCCCGTGAGCCCTTTGGAAATGGAGATTGAGATCTCAGAGAATCTGGCCAGCAGGAACTCATCGCTCCGGAGAGACCCTGCTTCTCTCCTTGCTCTGGAGGTTTGTTTGAAGGGCTGAGCTTCAGGGCAACTGAAGGGGAAACGTTGGGGGTTTCCTGGGGTCAATGGGATGAAGATCCACACAGGCCTTGACCCCTGGACCAGTCCAGTCTCTCTCCTCAGTACTACCATTTTGGGGGGCACAACCAGCAGCTGATCAAATGAGCTAATCTTTGGCAAAAGGGTAGTCGTGGCAGAATTTGTCTTCATTTCACTCTTATCTGCCCGTTAAGCATCTGATGTTCTGTTAGGGTCCTTACTTGTTACACTGGCAAGGAAAGCTTCATTTTGAAAGATGAAAATAATGAAAAACATAGTCTCCTCCAATGAAAATTTTATGGTGAGATTTTAGACAACAAAAATTTGGGGCTGGAGAACTTCCTGCTTGCCTTTCAAATCACTGTTGTCAACTTTTTTCCTTTCCCCTCTTCCTTTCCCTTACCCTTTCCTTCCTTCTCTCCTTTTCCTCCTCTTCTTTCTTCTTCTTCCCTTTTCTCTTTTAAACCATTCTGTATCCACCTCTCTTCTCCCCCATTCTAGCCCCTGCACCCTGCATGAACTTCAGGGCCTGCTTTCAGTCCCCTGGTCAGGAAGCTTGCTCTGATTATTTTCTCACACACTGGCCATCTCTGTCACCTTGACCCTCTGTGGCTCAGGGCTCTTGTGGCACTTACAGCCTGGGCCACATGCCTTAGCAGCTCTTTGTGTCCTGGGCCACTTCTCCAAACGCTGCTTATATCTTTGGTTTTGTGAAACTGTTTGTTCTCAGAGCACCGAGGCCACATCAAATTGCTGGGGATGTGTCTGCAGGATTTTCTACTTTGGGAAATCATTTTGGCCTCCACGACTTCTCATGGCTCTTTCACCCTAAGATTTAAAGATTTTCTACTTTTTCCCTCATTTCCCCCAAGGTTCCCAATTTGGCGTTGGGTAATACAGGTGTTACGGAAGGATTTCTTGAGCTAAGTCTTCCTCTTTTTGGAAGCGACTGTGCAGAGCCATTCAGGTAATAGAAAAGCTCTCCTGTTTTCAGAAGATCTCCCAACAAGGAGGCAAAGTACTTCCAGGGTTTCGGGATTAGCACTTTTCCAAGGCAGCGACATTACCTGTTCTTGCTTGTGCTTTAGTGGACGCTCTGGCCCCTCCTCTGGCCTGGTTAGCATCAGTGCTCCTCTGGTCCAGTCTCTGAGCTGGAAACCACAGCTGGCCCTTCCTGAAATGACTCAACATCCAACTTGGACTCAGCTCCAGCTGGCTCCAGGCGGCCAGTCTCACAGGACCAGGCCAGGACCACAGAGTTCCCAGCTTTTCTCAGAAAGATCCTGCTGCCGACCAGGGACTCCAGGCCAGAAATTTTGCAAAATGCAAGCACAAGCACTTTCAAGCCGTGGCTTTGTGTCTCCTGTCTCCGTGGCCTCACTCCACCAAACTCCATGATGCCCAGACAGAACACATGTTTCTCCCTGTGATCAGGAGACTCAGGTCTACAGCCACTGTGAAACTTCTTAGGATGTGTTTGGGAGAGGGAGGCAGAGTCCTTGGGGTTGGAGCCACAGCAGAGCACCCTGCCCTCTGGACCCTGGACCCCTGGAAAACATGACCCCACAAGGGGCCCATTCTAGACAAAGCAAGAGGAGGTGTCTGGACCTGGCTTTGGGTTTGCACTGCGACTTGGTGGGCAGGGGCCCTTTGGCACGCTAGGAGACGGCACCCACGTTCCCAATATTCAACTCAGGACCTTTCTTCTGCCTGCCTCTCTCCTTCCCCCAAGACTCTGGTCCACAGGATAAAATGAATGGAGTTGTGACTGAAAACACAGGTAGAAACAATGGCCCTTTTCTTCACATTTGCTTGAGACCCCAGGGCCTCTGCCTCTTGCCAAGCCCGAGTTATTCCTCCCCGAGCACACCAAATCCACTGCCTGGGAAGTCCTGGATACCCTCACCCTGCTCTCATCCTCCCCGCCTCCAGGGTGTGGCTCATCTCCGCCCTCCCCTCCTCCCCTCCCTACGCGGGAGTCCTTGGGGGCCTCTTTTTCTCCTTTGAGCTCTTAACTCTTGGCATTAGCACCACTCTTATGTGGCATTAATCCACATTCAACATTATGATATTGTTTATTGTCTCATGTGGTTAGGAAGTGTTTTGTGTGTTCACTTTCTGTCCACTTTCCACACATTTTAAACCAGCTCTGTCCAATGGAAATAAATGAGCTAGCTATACAAGCTAATTTTAAATTTTCCATTAAGTTTAAATTTCACATTAAAAAAGTACAAAGAAACAGGCAAAATTAGTTTTAATAATGTATCTTATTAAACCCAATGTATCAACAATACATGAAACCAAAGAGTTATTAATGAGATAATTTACATTTTAGGGGTATAAAATCTTGAAAATCTGGTATGTAATTGACACAGCACATGTCAATTTGGCTGCTAAATTTTCATAGACGATCCTTGATTTGCACTTAGATTTAATAACGACCTCTCCTTTTCCTCCATCATCTAAATATTAGACCAGGGCCTCTTCTTGGCATTTCCTAGATGGAACCACACAGCCAATAGGTTTCTGGGAATTGTAGTTCCCAGCTTCTTTCAGGGACATGGAGACCTTAGAAGGGGTAGTGAATACTGAGTCCTCTGGGAGAGGCCCCCACAGCATTACAACAGCTGCCCAGCAACTAAGGACACCAGCTTCTGACCAATGGACGAACCATCTCTCTTTCTGGGCATTATCTCCAGAGACTGGTGGTACCTACGACTCTTCCGCTCCTTCTTAAGGACTTTAGGGCTAGGCTGAATTTCTGGCCTAGACCCCATCTCACTCAATGCCATCATCTTATAAATGAGCAAAGCAATGTGAGTTCAAGGTCAGGTTGGAAGTAGGGTCTAGTTTCCTGGCTCCGCCTCAAAGGTTATTCCTTCTCCACTCTTCTCATGGTCCTTCTTACTAGTCTCACGTCAAATATTCTCTTTTGTCCTCTCTGAGGGTTAGGGTCTCCTTTTCTTATGTTTCATCTTCTGAAGAGATAGAGTTCCCCATGTGTTACTGATTTTTAACAGCATCAGAGCAAGCTTTGAGCACCTGGTGCATCTGAGGATCTTATGAATGATGGAGTCTCATCTAGTTATCTGGAGGGGAGCACTATGGGATATAAAAGTAGGCTCCACAGAGCTGTTGACTCATCCAGAGTCAGACGGTGCTATTTGAAGCAATGAAGTGGGGTTGAATTGACAAGGCTTGTCAGGAAGCCTGTCCACCACACTTGGCCCCAACCCCCACCTCACCCAGGACTTTGTGCTTGCAATTCAAGTGTCTGGCACCAGATGGCAGCGTTGCTCTGTTACGAATTTTAGACAACTTGCAATTCTGAGAAAGGATTTACATTTCATCATTCACTCATTTATTCATTGATACAGAAAACATTTACTGAGTGTTTACATTATACCAAGTACTTTCTAGGTATTTGAGATATACCAGTGAACTAAATACAAAAAGCTGTGCCCTCTTGGAATTTATATTCGTATGTAGGGAAATGAATAAATGAGAAAAACATTTGGTATATCAGATTGTAATAGGTGATATAGAGGAAGATAAAGCAGAGGAGGGGGAAAGGAGGGATTGGATGGGGGATGCTGTAAAGTTAAAGGAGAGGTCAGGGACCATAGGAACTGAGAGGTTACGGAGGCTTTAGGCAGTGGCCGAACCCCGGAAACAGAACACGCTGCGTGGAAAGAGCCTTTAGATGGGGTAGCTGTAGCCGACACATGCGGAGACTGAAGCTCAGGGAGGGACAGTGACCCACCCAAGGTGAAAAGTCTGGAGGGCAGAGGCTGGCAACCTTGAGTTCCAGTTTGCCCCACCTGCCCCTTCTGCCCCGACTTCCTCCCAAATCCCACCTTGGTCCCATGAAGGACCCTCCCTCAGTTTGGCAAAGACTATGAACTCACCGAATGCGGTTTTCTTTTCTTCCTGGCACATTTTCCAGCCTACCTTGCAGGTACCATGTGCAGTTACCAAGTTCTGGCCAGTGAATGGGGGGAGTGATAGATGCCAATCCCAGGCCCCTAAAGACACCCTGTATGATCTTCCACACAATCCCTGTTTCCCTGTCTGTGTGGCTAGGAGCACAGGACTCCAGAACCTTGGGGAACGAGAAAGTCCCTAAGGGGAGGGAGACTGGTCCCTGGATCACTGCATGAAGAGCACCCCATCACCCTGCTTTGGACTGTGATATAAGTGAGTCTGGTGTGTTAGGTCATTGAGAGTTGGGTGTTGTTTGTTATAGCAGCTGACTTACCCTATTACACCCATGATGGCTGAACTGCACGGAGCACCCTCCCCACCAGTAGGGGGCGCCTGCTGTTTCTGACCGCCTGTGCACAACTCTCTATTTGCTTGGTCATAGCTCTCATTCTTATTAGAGGAGGCACCCTTCTTCTTGTGAAGCTGTTTCTTATGGGGCTTTCCCACCACCACCCAGAGTTGGGTGTGTCATCAAAGTGGTCATTCTGAGTACATAATGTTCTTGGCCAAGTGATCGGTTCAGGGGTAGATACATAATATGATAAAAGTCTTGCTTAAGATTCAGGCTATGGATGCTAGAGAGAGAGCCTTGTCCTCTGACGTATAGAGTGATGAGGACCAAGAGAGCCTGCAGCTGCTGGAACCATTGCCCAAGGACATAAGGCAGACGCTGCCGGCCGAAGAGCCGGAGAGAAACTCCAACTCTATCACATCATTGCAGTCATGCCTGAAGCCAAGCCTACCTTCAGTTTTCCCAGTGACAAGAGCCAATTATCTTTTTAATTTAAAAAAATTGATCCAGTTTGGATTTCTGTTGCTTAGCACAGAAAGAGTTCTGATTAATAAGTAATTGAACTCAGATGTATTGAGACCTACTGCTCGTGTCCTGAGCCAGAGACTGGGACCCAGTGGTGAGCAAATGAGAGACCAGCCGCTAGGACCTCCTACCCTCATAGGAGAGACATACATGGCAGGTGGGCACAATGCCAATGTCAAGTAACAGAACAATCTGCTCAAAGTCGGGTCTCATTTTCTACTTTTTCAGTGCTGGCTTATCAAGATGCAAGAGGAAGTAAGTGTCTTTTCCTTTACCCTTCTGGAAAACCTGGCTTTGGGTTCTTGAGGTTTGAGCTTTCCTTATCACCATGAGGGAAGTTAACAGTCTTTGGTCTGTGTTTCCGGCCAAATGGAGAAGTTGCCGGGCTGGGGTGGGCTGCCCGAGATTGGAGGACCTGTGCCCATCTGGTGGCTGAATGGGGTTTGTGTGAGGAGGGCCGGGAGAGGGGCACAGCCTTTGGGGTTATGGGGCCTCTTGGACCAAAAAGGAGAAAGGCTGGTTCTGTGAGGCTAAGGGCATGCCCCCCTAGAATCGGGGTGGGGGGTGCGGCTGGGGTGGCTCTGTGCCCATGAGAATTGGACCCCAGGTTCGAGGCTCAGGAACCTTGAGAAAGCTCCCCAGGTGAAGCCTGCCCCGAGTAGAGGGATCCGCTCTGCATGGACCATGTGGGCAGCCCCAGGGACAACATGGATTGATCACTCAGCTGCTACTATTTATGTTCCTGGACGGGGCAAATCCGAGGGTCCTTCTGTAACCTTCTTCAGCCTCTTTCTGGCCTTGACAAATGTGGGTTTTAGCTAGATGTCAATTAAGTTGGGAAATTTGAAATACAACATTTCTTGAATCCTAAATTTAGTAGAGTGATTAATATCGGTATATATTTAATTACAGATTGTTACAGACTATGAAGGTAATCACTGAGCTCCATGAATCTTCCTGATGGGCAACTCCTGGCCTCAGTTACCTTCTAATACATCATGTAAACGAACCACCCAATAACCATTCTCAACTCTCTTGTCCTCTTCCAACCACAGACACTGAAAAAGTGACACTTTCCCAGACTCCTCTGTGGCTCGAAATGGTCATGTACCCCAGTTCGAGCTGACAAGAGGGAAGGGTTTGCTGGGAGTTGTGGGGGTTTTGAGGGGTGGGGATGGGAGAGCCTCCAAAAGAGATTTTTCACCCCTGATCACGTAAGAAAGAGCACGTGAAGAGAGCTTTTCCCAGTTGACCCTCGCCCTACCTCCTGACTTGGGAAGAAGTCTTGAGAAGATGTGATATCTGGAGCTGTGGCAGCCATCTTGTCACCATAATGGGGCAGTGAGGGTGACAGAGAGAATTCAGACACTCATGCAGGCAAAGCCTGCTTGGTGACGGCCCAGCACTAAGCTTCCTCATCACGGTTTAAATCCTTCTGACCAGGTTTCTGGCACTTGCAGAGACACACCCGGGCTCTGTCACGGGCCCTGTGAAAGTTGGTGGCCCCGCCTTGCCCTTAGAATGCAGATGAGACCTAGAGAGGTTAGGGACTTGCCTGAGGTGTCCTGCTGTGGAAGGACATGCTATCCCCAGGGGTGACAGGGCAAAGAGTGAGCATAGCTGTGGATAAGAAGGGGTAGCTGGGGCAGAGGGGGGCCCCTGGAACACCAGGGGAGGTGCAGGGAGCCGCCTCGAGTTCCTGAGCATGAGGGAGAGGTGGTCAGAGGGGGCGCAGGGACCCTGGCGGGTGAAACAACAAAGGGCAGCCCCCCCCAGCAGGGACTTCCTTGCGCTGTCTCCAGAGGGCCTGCAGGAAGGAAGGAAAGGCAGTGGCTGGGATTCAGTGCAGACTAAAAGGACCTAAATTTAGATCAGACATCCAGGGAGATGCTAGGAAATCCACTCCCGATTTCTCTCTCTCTCTCTGCAACGCGGTGCCCTACGGAGGCACATCCAGCTCCAGTTTCTCTGTGACCCCCCAGCAGCCCTCGGTGTCTGAAAGGGGTGAGAAGATTCACTTACAGGCGAGGCCACCACGGCACAACGCCACATGGTGGGGAACAAGCAGGAACCTGGGCTCGGGGCCCTCTTTCTTGGAGGGGGAAAAAAGTAGCCCAGAATGTAGCATTTGTTGATTTCCATGGTGTAAGTGCTTCCACCGTGGCTGATTTTGCCAACGTTTAAACAACTCTCTTGCAAAATTGCTGACATTTAACAGTCGGTTGTTTCTCGGAACCTGTAGGGGCCTGCTGGCAATGGCGCCTGGCCCCCCACCCCCAGCCACTGTCCTCGTTCACGTCTACAGGGCTCCCCTTCCTTCTGGTGGCAGGCCTGTCCGCCCCTTTCCCACCCTGACCCTGGCTGTGGTGTCCTAGCTTTTGATCTCATCTCTGACTTGCAGCCTCTGCCTTCCCCTAACCCTGACCCCAAACTCCTGCCCCTGGTCCCTCATTGGAACTTGCTGGATGGCTCACTATGGGGCAGGTTCCCTCCTTCCTCGGCCACAGCTGCTCCTGGTCACTGCCAGCCTGCCTGGATGGGCCCGGGCGTTTTGGGGGGGATGAGGGAGCTGTCTAGAGGGTTGCAGAAAAAAGTCCCTGGGAGCTCGCTCTGCACATCCTTCACGTTCTGAATGTCAGGCTCTCTCCTCCCAGAGCTGAGAGCCCCTCAAAGCCTGGATCCCACTTGTCTTCCTGAGTGCGACCCTTTCCCAGGCCTGCATTCATTTACTCTCTCTGAGCAGGAAAAAAAAAAAAAAAAAAAAAAAAAAAGAACATGTCCCAAGCTAGTCTACAGATCCTCCAGCTCTTGGGGACCCTCTGTCCATCCAACTGTGCCCTTGGACCCACCCCCAAAGCCTGCTCCCCTGTGCTCTCTCCCTTAGGTTTTATCGCCTTCCAAGACCTAACCCTAAGCCCGGCTACCAAAGCTTAGGTCACCTGCAGCCCCGCCCCTGAAGTCCTACTGCGCTTCTAGCTGAGCTCATCGGCTGTTCAGTGTTACTTCCTCCAGGAAGCCTTCCCTGCTCTCCTCCCCTCTGCTCTCAGGCTGGCGGTCCGAGCTTTCTGCATCCGCAGCAAACCCTGCTGGTAACTCTCCTCCCTCTGCGACACAGCCATTTCCTCGCTGGTCTCTTCCATTAGGCAATGTTTTTGGAGGAGAAGGAACTACGTCACTCTGCCTTGGCGCTTAACACGGTGCCTGGCACCGGGCGGGAGCCTATCAGCACGGGTTGCTTTGATGACTCTCACAGTCATTTCTCTTGGAGTCTCTAAAAGCACCTCCTGTAGAGTGCCTCCCAGCTCCTCTACTAGGGTGGAAGTTTCTCGAAGCCAGGAACCAGGCCTGTTGGTCAAGGCTCCTCCCAACACACAGCTCCAGGCAGGTCCTATGGCCAGGGCGCCACAGCACTCGCCGGAGGGGGGCAGGCCGAGCAGGTGTGGGCACACCCAGCTGCTGGCTGAGGCATCTCAAGAGGCAATCCAGCTTCAGAGAAAGGCTCTTCACATGCTCACGGTCCTCACCCTGTGGTGCTTATGAAGGCCCTTGGAGGGGCGGGGGCCGTGCGCTCTCCGCGGAAGCTGGGTGGCAGGGCAGCCAGGGCAGGAGAGCTGGGGCCGGCAGGCCAGGTCCCCAGTGGCCCACCCTATCCTGTAAAAGCCAGAGGAATCTTTGAATCTGTCTGGAGCTCTGGGGAGCCAGTCGCAAAAGTGGGACAGGCCCCCTCCTCTGTCTCTCCCTCCCTTCCACCCACTTGCCGGCCTCCTTAGCAGGGAATATGGACTCTGGCTCCCAGCTGGAACCCCACGAGCAGAAATGTTCTTTTGGTTTTCCTGTTGAAATCCCACGAGCAGGAATGTTCTCGTGGTTTTCCTGTTGGAATCCTCGGGGCAGGAATGTTCTCGTGGGTTTCCTGTTGGAATTCCATGAAAAGCGCTTTCATTCTTCCAGCCTTGTGCCCCTGAAGTTTCAGGGGCATGGGATCCTGGGGCAGGCTCAAGTTCAGCCCCTCCCAGGCTTTGCCCGAAGGCTCCGGGCACCCCCTGGAGGACGGCCTCATCGGCCTCAGGTGTGGGGGCGGAGGTTTCTGAGAGAGGCCGTGGTCATTTTTGTCCTGCTGCTATGAAGAGGGTCCCTGGGAAGGTGGCCTGCTCTGCTCTGGAGGGACACAATAGGCTGGGGTCCTGCTGAGATGGAGCCGCACAGCCTGAGTCTGCATTCTCGCTACTGGGTGGCTGGACCTCGGTTTCCTCGGCTGGATGGTCATCAAATCTATGCCGTAGAGTTGGGGGCAGGGGCATAAATGAGATAACGCTCCCCGTCTCCTTTCACCAGGTCCTGGCCCAGGCGGCGCTGGCCAGCTCTTGGCAGGATGCAGCCGCCCCAAGCCTTTGTGAGCAGACTCGCTCCTTTCCCTTCGCCACACCTCCTCCATCTCCCAACTCCTGGTGTCCAGGGCCCCCTTCTGCTCCCCGCAGCTCTGGCCTGGTGTCTAGAGTCACAAGCAAGTCCCTGTGGGCCCCAACCTTGGCCCCACCCACCTGCAGCCATGTCCCCTGGAATTCTTGGCAGGCCGAGGGGCCTTCTTCAGACCATGCGTATTCGAGGAAAGAGGCCAAAGCAAACTGTGTCCAGTTGGTGTGTTTTAACCTTGCAGAGTCTCAGCTCCTGGGACTTTGTCTCAATGACTGTCTCAGTGATTGGACCCCTGTGGGTGAGCCGCGCCACCATCTCCGTCCCCTCCCTCCTCCTCCGTCTCCTCCTGTTCTTCCTCCTCCTCCTCTTCGTCCTCCTCCCGGCTCTCTTAGGTGTCCCAGGCCACTTACACATTGCCTTTCTCTTCAGAACAGCTGCCTCATTCACCCTGCTGCCTGGAGGCTCTGGAAGGGCCGAGCTCTTGATCCCGCTCCCTCAGGAGCAAGCGTGTAAATGTGTGTGAATGTGTGTGATTGCATGTGAATGCATGCACTCACCAGGGTTGCTGAAGGCCAGTCTTTAGACTGCCGGCTAACACACACCCACTTGCATTATTTCACCATCCATGAAAGGAATGGCCACAATGTTATCTAAATGGTTATATATGTGCCATTGTCTCACCGAATCCCCAGCCTGTAAGAGTCATCTTTCCCATTTTTCTGAGAGCCCGGGTGCTTTCCGTAAGGGGTCAAGCCCAGACTCCTGCTCGGGTCTCTGGACTTCCTCCCAGGAGCCCATGCAGGCAGCTCCCCTTCCTCTGCTTGCCTCCTGAGATGGGG